TATGAATATTTAGAGCCGATAACCCGCCGCCAATTGATCGGACGCGCGGATGAAAATTGTTCCGTGTATTCACCTCGTCAAATCGACATCAGCAATCGAAACTGTTTCCCGGTGAACTAGATTTCTGTCTATTTCTATTCATATTCTGTTTTCTATTTCACTTCATCAATTTTAAATGCAAAAAGTATCTATATAAATCTATGAGTATCGATCGCCTTTTTGTGGAAAAAGAAAATTGATCGCGTGAATTTTGACGAGCTATCATCGCCGTGCTATCACCCGACGTTCATAATGAATGGCATTTCTAATCAAATATGCACCTCGCGATGGAAGGTGCGTCACGCACGGCATGGGAATAAGTTGCGTGTATGCGAAGTCCCGCATGACATAGTCTGAATTCTACGAAACATTTAGGCCTCTTTGTTTGCGCCGCAATTGGTATAAATATCGAATTATTATCGATTTGCGAAATTATAGTTGCGTGCGGTTATCGTTTTTTGGCAGTATTCTGTCACAGAAAGAGTAATTTCGCGCTAAAAGATCATTGGAAACTTGTATTATTATATGAAAATGTCATTTGCTATTCATTTTTGTACAACTTCTTGTAAAGAAACATATTTTTGCCTTTAATGCTTCTCAAAGTTAATGCGATTATACACAGAATCGTACTAATGATGAGAAAAAGTCTTCGATAAAAGAAATCGCGAACATAGCGTTTCCTAGCCTTGATAATGATACGGTCAGTGGCTTCGGGGACACGTTTTTGTCCATTTTTCTGCAGTGTCAACGGATTTGAGGCGAGCCATGTCTAAAATGCGATTGATGATAACGTTCAGCAATATATATTGTGTCCGCTAGATAATTTTCCGAAAGCGTGAAATTATCGTGAAAATGACTTACATGATCGACAACTGCTGACAAAAAAAAATGTATAAAATCGTGCCCCAAATAATTGAAAAAAAATAAAGAGAAAATCATATAATAATTTTTTTGAAATAAAATTAGAATGTAAAAATATTTTATTGCCCTTCGGCACAGTCTGATATTTATTTCTGTTATCTGTCATAGCTAAAAATATAAACGTAAATCTAAGGAGCGATAAGAAAGCATATGAAGGAGCGCTTTTTATTTGTTCATAGAAATGAATTTCGACTCGCAAGCAGAGACAAGACTGAGAGTCGACGCGACATCAGGGACATATCGTCGTCGAGATCGGCGAAAGAAGAGCTTCCCCGAAGTATATGTCGCTCTATAAATACAAACAGACATTTAAGGCCCGTAACCCCCGGTCCGTTCTAGTAGAGCGGAGAATAGAAGTACAACGCGAGATAATGTACACACGTGTGCACACTTTTGCGCGCTCGTATGAACACAGGTCGACCGAGGAGATCTTGTGGATATATAGAGATAATCTTTCATGTGCGTAATAATATACGCACCACAATCATGATTCTTCATTACTTAGAACGGCTTAGAATTAAAAGAAATCAAGAAATCGGGAAATTTGTCATTTTAGAATTTTTCGACCGTCCAAACATATGTACATCTATGCATGTTACAGATATGCGATGAAATTTGATTATCGAAGAGCGATAAATGAAATTTACGACACATACGTTTGCTTTTCGGGTAAAAATTTTGGCACGAGCGCGCCTGAATTATTAAACGGGCGAAAAGTCCCCTTTTAAAAGGGTGAGTCGTCTGTCGAAAATAAATTGCTATTATTATTTCCGCATGCACGGCACGTGGACTTTGCGATTCACGCAAAGTGTCTCGCATAAAACGTACGAGGGTGGAGAGGGAAAAAAAAGGGTATCACAACGCTCGATGGCGGGACAGAGCTAAATGGGATGTCCAAAGGATAACGCAAAGCGGAAAATATCCTTTTCCAAAAGCCGCTTTCCCTCTACAATCTAATATCGCGGTACATCACGCTACATATCCCGTGATGTATTCCGCGATCCGCGAACTCGCACAAACAGTCGCAATTTGCCTTTGAGGAGGCCCCCGTTCGGGCGGACAAAATTTCTCCTCAGCTCCTTGAAAGCGAAAGGTCCTTAGGACCTTCGGTCTTTGTGAAGACGCAAATCGCAAGGGAACCGTAATGCAGTGGCAGCTATAAAAGCCTTTTGCAATCGGAAATTTGGTCCAAAGATGATATAAATCCAACGAAATAAAAGTTGGATCATTTAAATTTCGTTACCTTTTGTAAATTTGCGTTTGCCTCTGCGCGTTCAAGGTTCCTAGCGCTTCGTTAAAGATCGAGGAAACTCGCAGAGAATAAGCGAGGGTAGTGAATCAGAGTAAATCAGAAGACTCGCGTGCTCGTGACAAAGACTCGACGAGCTTGAACTAGAAAATTTCTATAGGCGTGCGCGCGCGTTTTTGAGGATATTTAAGGACTCGGCGAAGCCTCGCACACGGTATACAACGTGCAACAAATGGCCAACGAATGTGTCTCGCGGGTTCGAAATCTACCGCTAAATTTACACGAAGAGAGGGAGAGAGAGAGGGGAGGTCCACGCGGAGGTCCGCGAAGAGAAGGAACAGCGGAGTGTTCCTGCTCTTCTTGATGAGGAAAAGAACAAGCGGCGAAGCTTGAAACGCAAGGGACATTTTTTTGCGCGGCTATTTTTCCATCAGCTCACTCTCATCATGTAATTTCAAAGTAAAATAAATTCTGACGACGGACCGCGACATGAGCGATCCCTGTGCGCGCTTCGAAATTAAGGAAATATAATCATAAAAGAGGGAAAAAAATCACAAGTAATTTAAATTCAAAAAAACCTTCCTTTTTGCGGTAGTAATAATAAAGATTATTAGATTATATGACATATTATCAGATTCATAATTTAACGATAATTTTGAGTGAATTTTTGAATGCGTTGAAAGAGCGATATGTTAAGACCGTCGAATGTAAAACAACGTTGGACTTGCGGACAATAAGCGAAGGCAATGAAACAACAAATCAGAGGACTCACGTGCTCGTGACAAAGACTTAACGAGCTTGAACTGGAAAATTGCTAAAGACGTGCGCGCGCGTTTTATAGTGTATTTAAGAAGTTGTGAAGTTTCGCCCGCAGTTCCCTGCATTCATTATATTCGCACAATGGCAACGCTAATGTACGCCTTGCGTTCGCAATGGGACGCTTTAATATATAATAAAGCAGTAATATTTAATCGCAGTAGGTTAAATTCCAGGCACGCTCAGTATATAAACGTCGTTCTCTATTAACGTCGAAGTTGCGGCACAACGGCGTCATTTTATCAGATGACATTTCGCAAAATCATCGTCGCAAATGCAAACGACCGCGGAGAGGCAGCCTATTCAATTTGTGCGCAGAACGATTGAAAAATCAACAAATAAACGCTAAACGAGAAGTCTCGACGAGCGACTATTAAAAATCATCGTTGGCGCAATGCGGAAAACGCGAACGATACGGGCTTCATACATCGGCTTCCCCTCCTTCTCTTTATCCCCTCCTTTCTTTAAAATGCCGTGCTAGTATATTTATTTTAATACAACTGCATAAAAAAATTGCAGAATTCTGCTGTCCTAACTGTGAATTATTTGATGCCAGTACGCTAAAAAATGCGGAAATTTATGAGCCATTCTGAGAAACTGTATACCTAAATCTTATTTTATTTCAAGAAAATCAATACTATTTTCAGCGAAATACTATTTTCATGCTCGAACATAAAAATTCCAAAATACTGTATATTTATTCTTATTGCGAGCATATAGCGCCATGATGTACTTCCCCTTATTAGCTTTTGTACGCTTCTAATTAAATATGTAGACCACGTTGAAGCACCTACTTATGAATCCCAAGCGCATATTCGCATATAGCGATTGTAACGACAAATTCGTGACAATAATGATAATATTGATAAAATATATGCAAAATATCCTTTATTCATTTCCGGAAAAAAAAAGAACGCTTCTCTATTTATAAAATGCATTTTGCTTGAAAATATTAAAAATATTATATTTTCAAATAAGCTTTCTCCAGACAACGCGTATAAAACATTCTGTATATTTTCCACGCACGAAATTAATATATAATAAAAAAGAAATTTTATCAATTGTTCAACACGCATCTCTCGTACAACTACAGCGATTCGCGAGCGATCCTGGCACGCTCGCCATAAATCCAATTAATATCAACGCCGCTTGCGAGTACGCGCCTTTCTCGCGCAATTAGGAAGCGTGTCCGTCGCATTGTTCATTTTACCGGCACCGTGCCGGCTGCGTACGTGCACACCTACGAGAAAAATGTATAAACGAGCGAGCTCTCGATGGGATTAGCGCTCGCCGCGACTCGAGCATTCAATGGTGGACAATTAGAAATAAACGAGCCACGCGCGACGTCGATTTCCTCTTCGCGAACCGAAAAAAAAAAAAGGAAACCGGCTTTATGATCTGCCTAGCAACACGAAGCCGTCACTAACCGTTCGTCCGGCTTGTAAGATAACTCGGAAAAAATATGCGCGGAGGAGGACAAGCACCGTTAGACAGGTGCCGTTGTGTACGCATCCAGGAAGCGTCTACGCGACGCGACGGATACGCGCGTTCTCCAATCCTGAAATCTCGATGTCATCGAAATGAAAGGAAACTACGAGCTTACGAGCCGGTGCAGTGCGGTTGCAGGTGCGCTCTCGGTCAAGCTGCATGCTACTCTTATCAGCAATAGCCTATTCGTGTCTGACACTTATTAATAGCCGGCCCCGATTATGCGAGCGGCGATTCTCATGTAACAATAATTACGTGTATCAGGCGTAATCGTACGCATACGTTAATGCGTGCTGCTGGACTGATAACGTATATCGCGGGGGTCGTCGCGATAACCGTGCACGCGTAAAGCTCGTGTCTCTCACGCGCAGGAGGAACAGAGGGGTCTTTAGCATTGTATCCCCGTATCGATTTTTTTCAATCGAAAGTATTGGGTTAATTCAATTTGCATGCGGCCAAGCGCGCAATGCGAAATTCCATCGCTTACCTTTCGCGAGGCGGTTCAGAATCAGATCCTTGTGCTGTGCGGTATGAGGCTCAGGAAGCACCACGAGGAGGTAGCAGCCACTCAAGGGCGACGGCGGCGGGTGTTGTTGCTGTTGCTGCTGTTGTTGCTGAGCGGCCGCCTGCACCGGCACCGCCGCACCGGTGATCGGCGCGCTCGGAGACGCGTTCTGTTCGGCATTTGTCGTCGTAGCACCCTCCCCTCCTCCTCCCCCTCCTCCGCCCTCCCCGGTGGGATCCGTGGTACTCATTGCTGCAACGTTACACGATCGTAGATTAATTCGCTTTCCCCTCGGAATAATCTTTTTTTTATATCTTTCATTTTCGCCACGCAACCGCGCGCTATCCGGAAAAAGCGTATCTATTATGCCGCTGTATCTAATCTGTATCGAAGATTAACCGCGTCGTTGACCAATATTACGATAATGTATTCCTCAATTCGGATAAAGGTATGCTGATCAGAAAGTTTCGCCCTTTATGTCTGAACGTTAACTGGATGGATCTCGAGCAACGGTTAACCGCGAGAAGCTGTTAGACTACCGTCAGACCGCTTGTCTCCGGCTTTTAATCTAATCCGCCCCTTTTAAGTGCGCCGCTATTTATTCTTCTCCTCGCTTCTATTTAACGCTCTAACTACTAACGCGATATATTTAACTCTCAAGTCACGAGAATAGCCAGATTCGCGATTCGGCAAAGCGAAACGAAAATTGCCGCGAAGAATTCCTCGCGAGAATATACGAAATAGAGAAGAGGCTTCGATGCTTTCGTGAAAGTAAAGTTTTTTTTTTATATCGCGCTGAGGCGAGGGCAGACCGACTCAATGTTATCACGGTCGCTGCTTTCTATTAGTATACGTGTGCCGCACGCATGATGCTAATTGCAATTAACGCGTCGGACGCGGCGCGGTTAGCGAGTGCGTAAAGGTTCCAGTTGGACGATTTATATTCCATCACTCTGATCCGTTCGTTAAGTCCATCCTCGAGCCGCGCGATGCCACTCCGCCGTTTCTACTCGAACGGCACCAGACGCTCGTGCGGACGCTCCATCTGCATTGCGTATGAGATGGGAGATGAAACAAACTCGGGGCCGAAATAGAAGCGGCAAGGGCCGAGGCAAAGCGTAACGACAAGGGGTTGGCGAGGCACAAAGCGCCGCTCTCTCTTGCCTCGCTTCTCTTCTTCGTAGGTCGTACGCGGTCATGATCGTAATCCCGTCCCCGTAAAAAGGATGTAGTCGCAATATTACCCCCATGATACGCGCTTTATGGCCGGCGACCGTGTGTACCGGTAAACTTTACGACAGGCGACGATCAATCCTTCGCGCCGGCGTTAAAAACTCTCGGCTCTCTTCCGACGTGAAGAATTACGTGTGACTCGCTGCCGTTTCGCGAGTTAACGAAGATCTTATTAACGGGCAATTTTATCTATTTTTTTTTTTTTTATAGACCTGAGCGATTACGAATACGAGGAAAGAGATGTCAGTTCCGCTCTTCAATTGAAATATATATACGAAGATAAAAATTATTAAGCGATTTTTAACAAAGACATTCGTGTTTAGAATTCAACAAAATTCAAATGGTTTATTCTTTTATTTGTTCATACTGCTAAAAATTTCAAGAAAAATTTATTCAGATTTAGAGATCTATCTGTATATAGATTTATATATAGAAATAGAGATTTGAATAGAGAGAGAAAGAGAGAGAGAGAGAGAGAGATAAATGTATGTCATCAGCCAAGTCGGACATCTCAAGGCGAAGGATGCACCGGCTGCGTACGATCATAAAGTATAGCGCATCTAACCTTTCTGCGGCTAAGCCGAACGTCGATGAGATTGCCGTCGAAACCCTACTGAGAATCTGAGCTTTTCGACGAAAGGAAAAATCAGTTTTCCGGGAGAGGAGAGCCTCGGGAAGCCTCGCGTGGAAAGCTTCGCGCGCGCAAAAAAAAGGAAACGAGTCCGCGGCGAAACTCGCAAACTCGCAGTCGCTTATGGTCGCGGATCACGGCGAGGGTATAGTCGCGGAAGAATCCCGAGATTCCTGCTTCCTTCGACGAGTCGGCGCCGCGATCGCACTGCACGCACGCACGGCGCCGGCATCGCGCGCAGGATTTACGCGAGCCGTCCGAGCGGAGCGCTACCACATCCTGCCGGAGGCGCAGTGCGCAGGACGGCCACGATGCCGGGTGTCCACCGCGTTACAGTCTTAGATCATTGATCCAAATTCTGACTGGAGATGACTGGAGGTCGACCGGAAACGTGCGCGCCGCGAATCGCGATCGATCGCTGCGCGCGGCCGACGTGTACGCTCAATCGCTGAAGGGATGATTGTCGATACCCGGTCAGACACGCCGCCACGATACCTGAACGTGGTCAGACACCGACGTAGCACTCTCTCGATTAATTCCCGCCGCTCTGTCTTTTTCCTTTTTTTTCTTCTCTCTCTCTCTCTTTTCTTTATTTCTTCCTCTTCTTCCTCCTCCGCAATCGAGAATATCGAGTTGCACTACGGAGAGAAAACCGGCGAACCACCCCACCATGCACCGTTGACTGCAGTGCACCCCCTTAGTAACAAGTCGCCCCCTCTCGCAGGCCGCCCGACGACGGCGGCGGCGGCAGCGGCCGGTAAAATCCATACGTCATATCGCGGGCGAGAAATCGTCAGCGGAAATTTCGTCAGAATTGCATATGCCACGACCGTCCGTCCGTCCGTCCGTCCGTCCGTCGGTCCGTCCGTCCGTCCGTCCGTCCGTCCGTCCGTCCGTGCGTCCCTCCGTCACCGTCGATGACCCGGTTAAACGTCCCCCGGCCGGCGGCCGCGCGGGGAATTTCGATCGACTCGCGAGGCCTCGGAGACCAAGTTCCAGTAGAAGTGCGCTCACCTGGTTATTCGTTACACCCTCCAGCAATGTTCCTCGGGCACCTCGGGCCTCGACTAACCGGGTTCCGGGTAATCCTGGAGGGCCGCTGCTATCGCGATGACAGGCGAGCGATGCTCGTCGCCCTCGGAGACACGGGAGATGCCCCGGGGACGTCCCACGACGGGAAGGGTGGTCGCGGACGGCTCGTCTCTGAACTGCCTTTTTTTTCGTTCCCTCGCTCTCTCCCTTTCGAGACCCGACGGGGGCCTCGCGTTCCTCTCGTTTCCTTCGCGCACCGCGAGTAGTACTGTGCGAGGTGCAGAGATTGGAGCGATTGAAAACGGATGAGATTCAAGCGAGAGTAGAGTAAAGAGAAACAGCGAGCGGGGAGGAAAAAAAAAGAGAGAAAGACGACGGACGGAAATAGAGAAGGGAAGACAGGGTCGGTGGGATACAGAGCGGAAGGAGGAGCGAAAGGGTGACAGCTCGTGAGGAGTAGCGTAAGTGACGTAAAAGTCTAGCGTGTGCGTGTATATACGTGTCTCTGTATACGTGTGTACCGGAGCGAGTACGATGCTGCAACGGCGCCGGGTGTCCCGAAGACGGCGGGGGTTGCGTGCGAGCGAGCGAACGAGAGAGAGAGAGGGAGAGAAAGAGAGCTATGCGGAGACCGGCGTAGAGAGATCGACGGGCGACGAGTGTCGTTCTGCTATCCGAAGCCTCCGTCGATGTCGGAGCACGACGCGAGATCCTCCTCTTTCCTCCCCGGAGCACGATGGCTTCTCTTTTCTGCCGTCGGCGACGACGGCGACAGCGGCGGCGGCGGCGGCGGCGACGAAGACGACGACGACGACGTTTCTCACAGCTGCTTGTTGCGGCTCCTCAAGTATATCGAAGCTCGGCAGCAACACTCGCGTTGCTGGCTGCCGGCTCTCTGACGGGCGAACTCGCGGCGCTGCGGCCCCCTGCGTCGGCGGCGAGCCCTCCCTTCGCCCCGTTCCCACCGTCGCGACGCACCGACCGGCACCTCCACTAGTATACGCGGCGCGATTGGTCGTCCGCGCAGCCGTGCCTACCGCCGTCGTCGCGCCGGTCTATACACCGTCAGGGACGACCACTACGTGCAACACTTCTCGATGTACATATCGGAATCTGTCTGGGTGTCGCGCGAGCGAGCGAGCGAGCGAGCGAGCGAGGGGCGAGGGGGAGGTGCGAGGAAGTCATATGCGATCATCGGGCTCGCGTCGAGCCGGCAGCGCGGAAGAACCGGCGAAAGAGCGATCCAACGTGCCGGAAATGACGTAACGACCACCCAGATCGGAGAAGCTCTCAATCGTAAGGGCTGAATTCCTTCTCCGGGAAGAGAGCGGAAAGAGAGGAGGTCGCCCTTCGGCGAGGAGGGCCGGAATAACGGGGAATAAGGGTTGCGAGTTGCGTGCGTATCGCAACGAGACACGCGTGCGGAATCGCACGGCTGGCTGATTCGCACGTACGGAATAACGACGAGGTCGGACCGGCGAGACGGGCGTGCCCGGGTTTCCAAGATCCGCCGGTCGTAATATCTTGGAAATTATCTTGGTAATAAAATAGACGACAGATAAGGGGGTGATTAGCGGTCGCCCGTTTCGGCCGTCCGATTCTAATGAAAAACGTGATCGAGGATCGTATGCGGTATAATTTGCTCGAATGGGGAATTCGAGCGCAATTACTGTTTCCCAGACTGCTAGATACTTATATTTCGAAATGCGAAAACCGTGTTGACCGAAAAATTGCGAATTTCCTACAGCTAATCGTTAGATGGCCGAACTGGGTGACCTTGTCCGATTGCGGACGCTGGCTTCCGAACGGGGGTGGATTGCAATTAATGACAAGTGGAGACCGGATGATGTATTATTCCGCTGGATTACGGGACAAAACAGGTTTTTGCTTCTGACCGTTTTGCACCGTTTCCGTAAGAGTGGCGATTAATCAATCCACCGCGATTTCTTTGTATCCTGTGCAATGACGGAAGCGTGAAGTATGGCCTAAATGCAACGAGTAACAATAGCAGGAAATATAAACGCCCATTATATGGAGAATTAGATTAACCCATTGAATCATTCTTCCTGCTCACATCTCACTCTTACTGTATTATTTTTTATTGTCTAAATAATTTGCATAAATATGCAATCATGAATAATTGCATCAACTTTTTCCATTAAAATGTTAAATAATATTTTTTTTAAAAGTTTATTACAGCGCTCGCGCTTTGTGACGCTGGCAATTCCGCGAAACCCTGTACATACTTGTGTGCGAGCTCGCAACTGCTTCATTTTTACTTGTCCGCCAATGCTGTTCAAATGTCGCGAATTTATCAGTTCTGAAAGAAATCAAACAGAAATTTTGCGGAGGTAAGTCGATATCTTTACGTCTTTCTGCCGCGCGGTGAATGACAAGACGGTGACCATCGGCATGAGAAAAAGCTGCGGCGAGGAAGAAGGAGAGGAAACAAGGTTGAGGTTGCCATTCGTATCCGAGGAATTTCCTTTCCGTCTCGATTCCGTACGACAGCCGGAATAATGTATCCCGGAGGTGTTGCTGCCGCGCGCGCGAAACTCGGGAGAGCGGATTCGCAAAGTTCTCGGCAAGTTCTTCGTTTTTTTTTTTTAGCTTCACAAAGCAAGCCTTACGCCGAAGACCGGGCGTCGATAGAAGCTCGCTTGAGGAAGAAAAGCATCGTCTTTCAAACTTTACTCGTTCCTTTCGCATTACGATAAATTCAAAATTATTGCACTCGCTCGCGCCTCATTGCTCGTCTCTCTTCCTTTCGATAAGTACCGCGTATCCAGACTCTATTCTGTACATTATCTCGCTTCTCGGCAAAATCTCAACACCTCTCTATACACGTCTCTAACCATCAATATTGAAATAAGTCGACGTATATAAATGATGAGCGTATCCGATTCGCAATGCGCAATAATTAATTGCACATTCACGCTAGTTGATTAATGATAGTTTCGCGGCGTATCGAGTTTACCAAACGGCGTGTCTGGATGAAAGATCGTTTCGGGTCCACGATCTCACGCGACAATATCGATTCCGATAGGATATGAGGTGTGCTCACGTTCGATGAAAATTTAATACCACGGCCTTAATGGCGCACGCTTGTTTATGCGAGCAGGCTCATGTGTACGAAATACGATGGCGGTTAAAGGCAAAAAAAAAAAAAAAATGACTCGACAAGTACGCAAGATATAAGTCGGTTATAAAGCGATTTATCCTAGTCATGCTCATTTGTCGCATTGCAGTGCGGACAGCGTACATTGTGCGACCGACTCTTCGAAGACCCTTCGATTCTCGCACTAAAGACGACTCTCCGACGGAATCTCTTAACGATCGGACCGTCGACTCGGCTCTGAAACGCACGCGATAAAACGAAAACATCACTTTCCATTATTATTCGCAAAAAAATATAATACCGCAATATTGCCTATAATAACGCTCTAATAACTAATAATAATTACGGAGCTAATTTCCGACGAAAACGGTTTCTGTTTAATTCCCTCGAAAATCTCGTCGTCTAATTTACATTCTTTAGTTTGCAACACTATTAAGATTTTCAACACTTGGCTACTTCTTCGAAATCCAATTTATTCTAATTACAATGAGCTTTTAATTTATTCTTCGGATTTCTCAAACGTTTCGCATTCTCTTTTTTTATTAACGAACTCCTTTTGCTTGATTTACGATCGCCAGGAGTGCGCGACAAGTGCTGCAACTTACTAACTGAAAATTTTCCATCGGCGTGATATGCGAACAAAATGGAATGTCTAAGTGTCTCACAGGAACTTTCGAGCAGCTTTGCAGGGACAGAGACGTGACTATACTACCAATGAGATATTCACTCAGTCAGACTCATAATACTTCCTGACGCAGCCGAAACGCCGTCATACGCGGTTTGTCGAAGACGTTCTAACGTAACGAAGGCGCTCGAACGAGAATGTAATGAAGCCGCCGTGTATAATTGGCTCTAATCGCTCTTCAATCATCTGGAGTGTTATGTCGCTCGTCAGAGTCCTCGCGCACGAAACGTAATGCCGTGGCATTATTAAAGCCGCACGACACCGTAACCGTGAAATTCGATGACGGTGAAAATTAAAAATAGAAAATATGCAGGATATATCGCGGAACGCAAATAGAGTAAAGTATATTAATACTCAGTGAAGCAAATAATTGCCTTAATGTTGATTCGAGAAAAATCGCTTATTTTCTGTCTAGCCATCCAGTCGCACTACGACTCGACCTTTTCGCCAAGAAAAAAAATGTATCATTAAAAACCTATGCAACAGAAGATATACGCGCTGCAAAAAAGAAAAGACAGTCGTATCTCTCGACGCGTCGCCGCCCACGCCTATTGGAAATCTCATTTACGACGCTTCCCCCACTTAAAAGGTAAAGACAAAGTTAAATTTACGCTTCTCGGAGAAATTGGTCGGCCTTAAGTCGTACGTTAAACTTCTTCTTAACGTTTTAAGTTTTAAACGACGATATCCGATATAGTCCCTCGAGTTCGCTTTTAAGAGAGATTGATACATTTTTTATTGGGACGTAGGATATCGGTAGTACGTTTTTATTGAGAGCTATACATGGTATCGCATAGAGACGGCTTTAATCTTTTTTTTCTCAGAATTATGATTTGAGAAAACGCGTGTTAAAAATGCGAGATCGAACACAAACGAAATCAAATTAGCTTTAAATTTTGAGATGCATTAAGCGTAATTATACTTTAACCAAGCTTGTTTCAGCCGACGATGAGTTTATAATTTATGCACGCATTACAAAAGTTTGCCTAGCTCAGAAGTTTGTCTAACTAATATAATTAAAGACGTGGTTGATGCTCTTAAGATGCGAATCTGCAATAAAGTGTTTATCAATTTTTTTTATCATTTTGACTAATATAACTTGTTAAAATCATTATTTCTGTTTCAAATCGAATATAAAATATTATTCATTAAAAGTATATATATATATATTTGTAAACAGCAAATATGATATTGATTGATATTCGATATTTTGAGAATTGTATTGGCTAAAGAGTTTATCGTTAAAATTGACTTTTCGCGTTTACAGCTGAAAAACAGTTGTCTATTGATTGTAACAAATGCGTTTGTAACATCATCATCGTGGAGATTTTATTTTATTTTATTTTACTTCACTTCGATTATATACTTGCTAATTTGATCTCTTGTTAAATCATTTATCAAGACGCGGTGCAAACGACGTTTAGACTGAAGTGCAACGGTGATGAACGAGCGACAGTGATTACATATGCGCGATCTATGCGTTACTAATTGCATCTGTGCTACCGCTTAACTGTACCCTCCAGGCGGTGCTAACACGGTATTCCCATGCGGTGGGACCGATAGCGGTAGCACTCCGCAACTTCGAGAGGCGAGACGCCTCCGGAACGAATGCAGTTTGCATCTGCTTCTCTGTCGCGAAATTCCATTCCTCTCTCCGCGCGCGAACAAATGTCAGGTAAAACAGATTTGCGTCATGTCGCGCTCCGAAGCTCGATGCGGCGCGAGTCGCGCCGCGGTCGCGTTTCGTCACGATTAAGAGATCCTTGTGGCATAATCGCGGTCACTGGCGATTTATCGATCCGCCGAATAGTTTCGATTGCCGCAATGCATCCCGCGATTCTCAGTACCGTAATGCAGGCTGCAATGCAAATCGCACGTAGACGCTACAAAATTTCGTACGCAATTGTTATCGTGGTTTCGTTATACTTGCGGAAAGTTTTATTAATTTCAGAATAAACTGTTTCATAAATTCTTCTCTAATTTAAATTAATGTTACACTTTATCTTATTCTATATAAACTTTGTGCAAAAACAAGTAGGAATAAATAATGCATTTTGCAGCTGCATGAATGTATT